TTTATTGCTTCGAGTCAGAGATGGAGAAGAGCATACAATAAAAGATAATTTGATCCTTCTTCCAGAATAATTGGTTTTCAAGCCAATAGTAATCGTAGTGGCGAAGATCTCTTAATAAGGAAATAATTGTGGTCATAAAAGGAAAATAAAAGTTGTGTAAAGTATATGACAGAAAAATTTATCTTAGCTAACAGAAATTAATATGTTGCTCGACTACAAGAGATATTAATTTTCAAGTTTCTTGATGAAAGTAAAATATGACCCAATCTTAACTCATTAAAAAATGATACCAACAACATAATTATTACCACTAAAAATACTTAAATACTCAGTAAATGGCCTTTCACCATATAGGTACATTGTCAAGTTCATCATATCTTATATATGTTAGTGTCATGAAAGTATATAACAAACAAAGGATCTTCCATTGTCATGCATGGTAGTTTCTTTTTACAAGAAAAACATGCCCATACGTTTAAACCCGTTGAATAGCCTATGTAATGGTACAATGATGGTATGGAGAGGTATTGACTATAATGTCATACATGCAAAAATTATGATGGGTCAAGATGCTTCTAAGCTTGTGTTTATCCCTGAATTTATCTTTCACCTTCAGAAAATAAAGAATATCTTCTTAAATTCATCCAATAATAATTCAATACTCTTGTGTTTTGCATTGATAATAAGTAAAGCTCAAGGTCAAATAATTTTATTGGATTGTATTTGGTGAAACATGTTCTATCGCACAAATAACTATATATTACACTTTTAAAAGAGATATCAATATCAATGACCAGGTTCTGATCATGAAAGAGCAGCCAAAGAGTCAAAAGTGAACATACACAAAACAAAAAAATATCGTTTAAAAAGAAGTCCCAGGTAAAATATGATCACATTACATATTTCTAAACTATAACTACATAATATTTGTGATATATAAGTACATTATAATATTATTTAGCTTAACTATATTGATCATTTATGCAGATTCAGAAAATATCCAATTAATTAAGTGTTATACTAATGTAATAACATTAACTTTTGGTATAAATGATTGCTGCATTTTTACAGGTTAATTACTTTACAAAAACTGCTTTATAACAATTGTTATGTATATATACATATATAATTGACTAAACCCTTAGGCGCCATTATTAACGTGCAACGCACGTTCATAGAAACTAGTAAATATATAATTTATGTATTATATGTATATAATTCTGTATAATCAATGTATAATTTATGCATATGGTTAGAAAAAGTAAACAATGAATATTATGGCCGGTTAATTACGTAAAGATCCCATCTAAAATATAGGCTTGGAATTTTCCGATTCAGAATATGTATCTTTTATTGCTAATGTGGGAGGCGGCAGCTATATACGTAGTGATGTATCTAGAAGATAGAGATGGTTGATGAATTTTATTCATTCGATTTGAGAATATTACTTAACAAAATTCTGACAAAGAAAAAAGTCAAAAAACTTTGCTGCACATTTGGACGTCCAAACAAATACTACATCCGTTTTTTTCGATATGTTCATTTTCCATACGTATAATATTTGAAAAAGTTAGTTCAGCAGAAAAAATAGGACTGTGAACCTCTTTCGGGAAAAAGAAAAAGAATGTTTTCAAAGTTTGAAAACGGGAAATTAATGGGTTTGAAATATGTCACAGTTCAGCTAATCAAATAGTTAAGGCAACTAATAAAAATGTTGTTGTATGGCCAAGATAGTCTATAACAAGTTAACAACATCTTTTATAACAACATCTTTTATAACAAGTTAATCAAATAGTTAAGACAACTAATAAATGTTCTCTATAACATCACTTCATTATAGTAGCAAAAAAATATCGACAAGACTATTATAAAAAAGTTTGATTATACTCTTTTAATTTGAGAAAGTAATAAATATCACTTGACACTTCTTCTTCTTCTTCTTCTTCTTCTATCAATAGAATTAGGGAAAAATNATATATATATATATTATCGGTTATTTTTTTAAAGCGGCTAAAAATGTACATTCCTCGCGTAATTGGCTAGAAATTGAATCACACGAGTAGTCATCTTCCTTAAAACTTGGCTAAAATTCCACCTTTGAAATTTCAAACCAAAAGTAACACAATTAGTCACTTGCATAAAACTTGGCTAAAAATCTTACATTCAAGTTCCCTAGAAACAGTCATCTTTAGCTAAGCATTGACATAAGCATTTTGTTTTTCGTATTTCTAGAAGCTTACTCCAAATTGTCAATATATACAATGTAATGCATAAGACTTCCCATGCTATTACTTTTGTCCTCACTCCTCACCTCTCTTTTCTTCTAATAAAACCAGCCAATTCCACTACTCCACAAATACCCCATCTCTGATTTCTCATCCTTTTTTCAATCTATAGAAAAGGAAGTTTTTACACAAATAGCCGGTCATCACAAAAAATTACATGGATACACAAGTAACAGAACGCGGTAACACTAATTTGAGGGTAATAATGTTTCCATGGTTAGCATATGGACACATATCTCCATTTCTAAACGTATCCAAGAAACTCGCGGACAGGGGATTCTTGATTTACCTCTGTTCTACACCTATCAATCTTAAATCTATAGTCAAGAAAATACCCGAAAAATATTCTGTTTCAATACAGCTTATTGAATATCATTTACCCGAATCGCCTGAACTTCCTCCTCATTACCATACAACCAATGGACTCCCACCCCATCTCAATTACACCCTTCAAAAGGCCTCGAAATTGTCCAAACCAAACTTCTCCAAAATCTTGAAAAATCTGAAACCTGATTTGGTAGTTTACGATGTTTTACAGCAATGGGCTGAAGGCGTAGCAAATGAACATAACATTCCTGCAGTCAAGCTCTTAACTTCTGGTGCAGCTGTGTTTTCATACTATTTTAACTTAGTAAAGATACCAGGGATTGAATTCCCTTTCCCAGCTATTTATCTTAGGAACATTGAGTTAGTAAAATTGGGTGAAGTGATGGCAAAATCAGCTAAACAAAAAGAATCTGATGATGTGGATCTTTTTACTGAAGGAAATATGCAAATTATGTTAATGAGTACCTCTAGAATTATAGAGGCAAAATACATAGATTATTTTTCTGATTTGAGCAATTGGAAAGTTATTCCAGTTGGTCCACCAGTCCAAGATTCAATGGCTAGTGACGCGGATGACGTGGAGCTTTTTGATTGGCTAGGAAAAAAAGATGAGAATTCAACTGTTTTTGTCTCTTTTGGAAGTGAGTATTTTTTGACAAAAGAAGATATGGAAGAAATAGCTTTTGGATTGGAGATTAGTAATGTTAATTTTATATGGGTTGTAAGATTTCCAAAGGGGGAAGAACAAAATCTTGAAAATGCTCTACCACAAGGTTTTCTTGAAAGAATTGGGGAAAGGGGAAGAGTTTTGAAGAAATGGGCACCACAACCAAGAATTCTCAATCATCCCAATATCGGAGGATTTATAAGTCATTGTGGTTGGAATTCTGTAATGGAAAGCGTAGATTTTGGGGTTCCAATTATAGCTATGCCTATTCATCTTGATCAACCACTAAATGCTAGGTTGATGGTAGAATTAGGGGTCGCGGTTGAGATTGTTAGAGATGATGACGGTAAAATTTATAGGGAAGAAATTGCGCAAGTTCTTGAAAGTGTCATAGCTGGGGAAATTGGAGAAAATCTGAGGAAAAAAGTTAAAGATGTAAGCAAGAATTTGAAATGTATAAGGGGTGAAGAGATGGATACAGTTGCTGAAGAGCTAATTCAATTTTGTAAGAATAGTAATAAGTGCAAATAATGTGATGCTGTAATTCAGTTTACAAAGTTGTTTGGAAGTGAGATTGAAATAATGAGAAATATAGGATCCAGCTTAAATTTATCCTAATTCAACTTTGTGAGAATATATAGTAATTAAGTGCAAATAATGTGATGTTGTTATTCCGTTTACAAAATTGTCTGTTAGGTCTGGTTATCTTCAAAATATTTGAGGTTGAAATAATGAGAAAAAATAGGATGCGACCTATAAATTTACCCTATTATTCATCTTCTTAAAGTATAATTTTGTTTAGCTTCGATATGAATACTTTTTCTTGTTTAAACCTGTTTAGAAATATTTTTTTGAGCCGAATGTCTATCGGAAACAGTATCTCTACCTTCACAAAATATGTGTTATACCGCATCTATATTACTTTTCTCAAACCTCATACTATGAGAAAACACAAAATATATTATTGTTATTATTTTCTATATGAGTTCTCAATTCTTTAATCAATCGCATGCATCTTTAGACTCGACCAGAAAGTTTGTTAAGACTAAAATTTGCCTTTTAAACCGTCGTTAAAATATCTAAAGCCATTATCAAATATTGGAGTGAAGTATAATTTGTTTCTTGTATAATCAAGTTTCTTCAGTTCTTCAGTAGGGGGAAAATCTGTGTAATATATGTCTTGAATATTATTGTTATATCTTGGAAAAACCGAATTACTGGCGTAATATTTTAAACAAGCCAGCTATAGTGGATCCAGCTCTCAAACATAGCTATACTTCAAACAAACAATTATGCACGTAGGGCAGAGCCAGAATTTAAAATTTATGAGTTCAAGATTTTAATTTTTTTAAGTTGATGAGTTATAAATTAATAATTTGATCATATTGAATGAATTTCTAAAGACAAATACAGAGTTTGGACCAAAGGTAAATTGTACTTCGATCTCTAACTCCGCCTCTCACTTGCGCAACTAGTCACTCTCCATAAAATTTAGCTAAAAATCTACATTAATGGAAAATCCTAGGAACAATATAATCACACTATCAGTCATTTTCATGAGCTTGGCCTTGAAATCGACGACAACATTTCTTTTTTCCTCTTCTAATCTTAGTCCAAATCAGCAAAATATACATTGAAATCAAGGAAACTTCACTTTTTATTTTGTCCTAATCTCTCCTTGTTTCTGATAAATCCAGCCAAGTCTACCAATCAAAGATCCCATGATTAATGACGCGGATGACGTGGAGCTCATTGATTGGCTAGAAAAGAAAGATGAGAATTCAACTCTTTTTGTCAACTTTGGGAGTGAGTATTTTTTGACAAAAGAAGATATGGAAGAGAGAGCTTTTGGATTGAAGATTAGTAATGTTAATTTCATATGGGTTGTAAGATTTTCAAAGGGAGAAGAACAAAATCTTGAAGAGGCATTACCACAAGGTTTTCTTGAAAGAATTGGAGAAAGGGGAAAAGTTTTGCAAAAATGGGGACCAAAATCAAGAATTCTCAATCATACAAGTATTGGTGGATTTATAAGTTATTGTGATTGGAGTTCTATAATAAAATGTTTAGATTTTGGGGTTCCTATAATAGCCATGCCTATACATCTTGATCAGCCAATGAATGCTAGGTTGATGGTAGAACTTGAGATTGTTAGAGATGATGATAGCAAGATTCACAGAGAAGAAATTTTGCAAGTTCTTGAAAGTGTTATATCTGGCAAAATAGGGGAAAATTTGAGTACCAAAGTTAGAGATATTAGCAAGAATTTGAAATCTATAAGAGGTGAAGAGATCGATGCAACTGCTGAAAAGCTAATTCAACTTTGTAAGAATAATAAAAAGAGCAAATAATGTGATGTTTGTTATTCAATTAACAAAATTGTCTATAAGGTACTTCTGGTTGCCTTCAAAATATTGAGATTGAAATAATGGGAAAAAAATTGGATGCTGCCTTAAGCTATCCTTTCCTATTATTCAGTCTCATGAAATGTGACTTGTGCCGAAGTTCATCTCACTAATAGCAGCCCATTTCAATTACTTTAACTAAAAATAACAGGTGAATGTATGGTATTAATATAATTTATGTGTTATATATATATAATTATGTATAATTAATATATAATATAATTATATATACCCGGCTAAAAAAAATAAATATAAAACTGATCGACTATATGTGTAAAGATATATTCCCTTGTAGTAAATAAGTTATCGCTATATTTGGACCCAATAACTTTGACTTATGTCCGGTATATGATTTTTAGTTCTCTTGATAAATATAAATAATAGATTCTGAAACTAATAAATTAGACTGGGTAGGATAAAATTCCGAACCCGAATAATTCAAATCTTGAATTGACCGCCGACGGCCGATTAGAAAATTATATAAACATTGTAGTGGAGGTGAAAATAATGAAATTAAACTCAATAAGTCCGAAAGTGCGTTTGTTACTTGAAAAAGCCAACGAACAATCGAAAGGTGCATCGAAAGAGCCACGCGTTTGTTACCTTTTTTTTTTTTGGGAAATCTTAACCTAAACTATAAGTCATTTTCATGGACTTCTTATTCCACACTGCCGACCAAAATTTTATTTTTTAAGAAATCTAAACCTAAACTAAATCTTGCCCACTAACATGACCCAACATATCCATGCACCCCTAGGAATCAATTACAAAACTGAGCTGATTAGTTTATAAGTTATGAGTTTATTTGAATTCAATAAATTTTGCTTAGACTCAGTATATGTATTAAGAAGTTAATTAAATATTTATAAATATTTATTTTAGTGAACCAATTATTATTGTATATTAACTCGAAATTATTAGAGAAACTCATAAAATTCGAATTTTAAATCCGTCTTATTAAATAGCGGGACCGTGCTTATTGGATGAATAATTTATTATCTATGATGTTTGTCTTTTTGACCGAGTAAGACGCAAAGGAGGAGGAATGTTAATAAAGCACACAAAAACACAAAAGCAAAATACAACTTGTATATTGGATATTTTTCCGTGGCTGATGAGTCAGGAAATTGACCCCTGCTTGCTTTTAACGACAATAATGATAATAATAACTGTGGCACCCCTTTTTACCCCATCAAATAATATGTGTTTTATTGGTTGTGGGTTAAAGAGTTTCTCCAATTAAAGTGATAAATTTGAATAAGGATTATTTTATTTACAAAGTCGTCACTTGGAATTGATTTTTTGGGTTTTTCAAGTCATCTTTTATTTGAATTTCTCTTCAAAAGAAGATTTGACTCTATTATTATTGGTCTGCAAAAATAAAGTTCGAGTAAGACAACGAGTTATGAAAAACAAAATTGGGTCAACTTCTAATCTCAAATCCATATAATTTATTAGACCACCTCATGATCAAATCAACGAATTCAACAATGGCCTGCTTACTCTTATAGTTCAATCAAACCAAATAGCTTCTAGCACGGTCGTTTTATTGACTTAAACTTGGCTTAAATTAATTTTAGGCAAAACTATATTTTATATGATTTTTATGTTTTACCTATCCGCTTTTATTTCTTGATTATTAGAATTATTAAAAAAAATGATTGGGATAACATTATGTTGTCATAACCACGCTACGCAAGAGTGCGTGATCGAATAACAAAATTTATTAACTTATCATAATTGCGCCTCGCAAGCGAATCCGAAATCATGACAATCAGTTATTTGTAGTACTTTTGAAAAGTTACTACATTTATGATTAAGAAAATTAGTTTTAGGAAATTATTAAATGCCACTATCGCGCTACGCAAGCGAATCCGCGATTAGAATAAGAGACTAATTAAATTAGAAAATAATTAAGCTATGGAAATTATAGAATTAATTTACTAAATATTAAACACCACACTACGCAAGTGAGTCCGTGAGTAAAAAAATAAAAGTGCGCCTACTAGTTGCCTAGAGATATTGTTAATTATTTTTCCTAAACTAATTTTGAGATTATTGTGAGACAACGAGTTATGGAAAATAAAATTGGGTCAACTTCTAATCTCAAATCCATATAATTTATTAGACCACCTCATGATCAAATCAACGAATTCAACAATGGCCTGCTTACTCTTATAGTTCAATCAAACCAAATAACTTCTAGCACGGTCGTTTTATTGACTTAACTTGGCTTAAATTAATTTTAGACAAAACTATATTTTATATAATTTTTATATTTTACCTATCCGCTTTTATTTCTTGATTATTAGAATTATTAAAAAAATAATTGGGATAACATTAGGTTGTCATAACCACGCTACGCAAGAGTGCGTGATCGAATAACAAAATTTATTAACTTATCATAATTGCGCCTCGCAAGCGAATCCGAAATCATGACAATCAGTTATTTGTAGTACTTTTGAAAAGTTACTACATTTATGATTAAGAAAATTAGTTTTAGGAAATTATTAAATGCCATTATCGCGCTACGCAAGCGAATCCGCGATTAGAATAAGCGACTAATTAAATTAGAAAATAATTAAGCTATAAAAATTATAGAATTAATTTACTAAATATTAAACACCACACTACACAAGTGAGTCCGTGAGTAAAAAAATAAAAGTGCGCCTACTAGTTTCCTAGAGATATTGATAATTATTTTTCCTAAACTAATTTTGAGATTATTGTGAGACAACGAGTTATGGAAAACAAAATTGGGTCAACTTCTAATCTCAAATCCATATAATTTATTAGACCACATCATGATCAAATCAACGAATTCAACAATGGCCTGCTTACTCTTATAGTTCAATCAAATCAAATAGCTTCTAGCACGGTCGTTTTATTGACTTAAACTTAGCTTAAATTAATTTTAGACAAAACTATGTTTTATATGATTTTTATGTTTTACCTATCCGCTTTTATTTCTTGATTATTAGAATTATTAAAAAAAATGATTGGGATAACATTATGTTGTCATAACCACGCTACGCAAGAGTGTGTGATCGAATAACAAAATTTGTTAACTTATCATAATTGCATCTCGCAAGCGAATCCGAAATCATGACAATCAGTTATTTGTAGTACTTTTGAAAAGTTACTACATTTGTGATTAAAAAAATTAGTTTTAGGAAATTATTAAATGCCAATATCGCGCTACGCAAGCGAGTCCGCGATTAGAATAAGAGATTAATTAAATTAGGAAATAATTAAGCTATAAAAATTATAGAATTAATTTACTAAATATTAAACACCACACTATGCAAGTGAGTCCGTGAGTAAAAAAAAATGGTAGTGCGCCTACTAGTTGCCTAGCGATATTGTTAATTATTTTCCCTAAACTAATTACAGATTATTGTGAGACAACGAGTTATGGAAAACAAAATTGGGTCAACTTCTAATCTCAAATCCATATAATTTATTAGACCACCTCATGATCAAATCAACGAATTCAACAATGGTCTGCTTACTCTTATAGTTCAATCAAACCAAATAGCTTTTAGCACGGTCATTTTATTGACTTAAACTTGACTTAAATTAATTTTAGACAAAACTATATTTTATATGATTTTTATATTTTACCTATCCGCTTTTATTTCTTGATTATTAGAATTATTAAGAAAATGATTGGGATAACATTATGTTGTCATAACCACGCTACGCAAGAGTACGTGATCGAAAAATAAAATTTATTAACTTATCATAATTGCGCCTCACAAGCGGATCCGAAATAATGATAATTAATTATTTGTAGTACTTTTGAAAAGTTACTACATTTGTGATTAAGAAAATTAGTTTTAGGAAATTATTAAATGCCACTATCACGCTACGCAAGCGAATCCGCAATTAGAATAAGAGATTAATTAAATTAGGAAATAATTAAGCTATGGAAATTATAGAATTAATTTACTAAATATTAAACACCACACTACGCAAGTGAGTCCGTGAGTAAAAAAATAAAAGTGCGCCTACTAGTTGCCTAGCGATATTGTTAATTATTTTTCCTAAACTAATTTTGAGATTATTGGGAGACCACAAGTTATGGAAAACAAAATTGGGTCAACTTCTAATCTCAAATCCATATAATTTATTAGACCACCTCACGATCAAATCAACGAATTCAACAATGGCCTGCTTACTCTTATAGTTCAATCAAATCAAATAGCCCAAAGGAATCCATTATATGTCCAGCATACCAAAGTAACATAATTTTGGCCTAATCTACTAATCAAATTTAGCAACACCCAAATAGACTAGAAAAGAAAATTTTATGAACTATCAAGTTATCATGCAAAACACACAAGCACTCCAACCTGTTTCCTTTATCTCAGTGCAACAGTAACATCCACATTCATGAGAAGCTCCAAGTAAACAAAATAATCCATAAAATATAACAATGAAATACTCGCTCAAACAATCAATAAATAAGCAGTAAAAGACTAACAAATTAACTAATGCATGATGTCAAGCTAAAATGGTAAAGAAAAGAAGATAGAATGGACCTTTTGCAGTCAAAATTCCTTCTGAACCTTTATTCAAAAATAAGCTTTTGATTTCAACACGAAGCAAAATCTAACAACGAACTCGAACCAAAAACGAAAATCTGCTCACCCCTTTGACTGGAGGTCAGCCAAGCAAACTTCATGTTCATTATAAACAAACCACGATCCGATCGAGACCTGCGCCGGTGCCGAAAACCTTGAACCTAACTCAAAAACTCCACTGAACGTGGGTGGCCTTACATAGTTAAAACGAACCTCTGTTCGTCGGCAAACATGGTGCGACGACGACTATTTTTGGGGTGATTTGGTGCTACATTTCAGCTAGTTTTGGGTGGTTATTTCAGCGTTTGGAGCTGCTGTTTCGGGTTGTTTTTGGAGCAGCTATTTCATGGCAATTTGCAGCTAGTTTTAAGGCTGTTACGTGGCTGATTTTGCTGGATTTGAGGATAGTTTATGAGCTGGTTCAGCTGCGCTTTTGGTGGTATTTTAATGGAGGTTTTTTGATGGTTTTGAGCTGGAGTTTTATGGAGAAAGAAGAGGGTTGGTGGCTGAAGGTTATTTTTGGTGGGGAAGGGATCTGATCTATCTTTAGGGTTAAGGGGAAGGGGAGTTACGACTGATCCCTTGAATGAGAGAGTCAGAGCCTTTTAATGATGTAGGTTATTTTAGGGGGGGGGGGGGATCTAATGGGTTTTTTGGCTATTGGGCTCAGGTTTGGCCCAATTTGGGTCATGACTTGGACAATTGAACAAAGCAAGACATTAAGAGATCTAGTCCAAATTAAATCTTCTTTTTTTTTTGTGATTTTGATTTTCTTTTATTGATTAATAGATGAAAAAATAAAAATACTACTCCTAAACTTGAATAGCAAGATAAAATAGTAATCACTCAAAATTTACTTATCAAACTAATATAATTTTTGGAAAATATTTTCTTTCTTTGGAAATGAAGATAAAGCTTATATTTAAAATGTGACTTTTTTCTTTTATTGTTTTCAATTTTCTTAAGTAAAATATATAAAAGGAGAAATAAGAGCTTAAATATGTAGATTAAACTAAAAATATATTTACAAACTAAAAAGTGATAAAAAAACTCAAATATAGTCAAAAATTAGGTGCTCATAGCTGCCCCTCTTTGCTTGGAAACATGAAGAGTTTTCAGGCAAAGACAAAGTATGCCGTGTGACTAATTTTTTACCATATCGTTATTCAAAAGAGGAAGAAAATAAAAGAAAAAGGTGCAACCGAGTCCTGATTTTGGACAGCCTACATATCCCGGGTTATAAGAGAATCAGGTAGCGTGTAGTTCAAGAAAAGTGATGGAATGATTAGTTGGAGAGTCGAGTGAGGTTCCGTCGAGGCTCTGTGGTCCTGCTATTACATCAAAATCGAAAGAAATTAAACAAGCCTATCAACTCTGAGTTACAAGATTCTTATCTATAAGTCTTTTGAAGCTTGATCATGAGTCTTAACTGGTTGTTCATGCAGACTCTAATCTGAACCTTGATGCTTACTAGCTGTAGGTGCTAGTTCATTCTTCTACGGCTTCTTCTGAGCAAAACGGGAAATGTGAAACTCGTAACTTCTGTCATGTCTTGAGCAGTCCATATCCTTTCCATCCGCTTCTGCATTTGGATTCACTTCTTTTCCTTTTTCTTTCTTTATTTTGGATTGACACTTCTTCTTTTGTTCATCTCGAACCCTTTGCCTCGAGATAAACCTGCTCAGACATCAAAATAAACAAACAAACGAAATTTTTCTGCCCCAATTTTCGCTAGAAAAATTTCGTGAGTTATTGTAACAAAATTCTACATGGGTTAAGCTACGTGAAACATCCTAAAAAGGGAAATGTAACCAGGGGTGGGCACCCTGTATTACTGAAAAGGAAAATATAACCAGGGGTTGGCGCCCTATATTACTGAAAGGATATGTAACCATGGGTTGGCGCCCTGTATTACTGAAAGAAAAATGTAAACAGGGGTTGGCGCCCTGTATTACTGAAAAGGAAATGTAACAAGGGGTTGGCGCCATGTATTACGGTATAGGAAATGTAACCAGGGGTTGTCACCCTGTATTACTGAAAAGGAAATGTAAACAGGGGTTGGCGCCCTGTATTACTGCAAAGGAAATGTAATCAGGGGTTGGCGCCCTGTATTACTGAAAAGGGAAATGTAACCAGGGGTTGGCGCCCTGTATTACTGAAAAGGAAATATAACCAGGGGTTGACGCCCTGTATTACTGAAAAGGAAATGTAATCAGGGGCTGGGCCCTATATTACTGAAAAGGAAATGTAACCAGGGGTTGACGCCCTATATTACTGAAAAGGAAAAGTAACGAGGGATTAGATCCATGTATTACTGAAAAGATGCTAAATCCCCTGGGCGAAAAGGTTCTACCTGGGTTAAACTACAAAAAGAAAACCTGGGCGAAGAGTACTTCTACTCGGAAATATGAGCTGGATCCCCCTAGGCGAAACGGTTCTACCTGGGTTAAGCTACTTAAAACAACCTGAGCGAAGAGTACTTCCACCCGAAAATATGAGTTGGATCCCCCTATGAGAAAAAGTTCTACCCGGGTTAAGCTACAAAAAACAACCTAAGCGAAGAGTACTTCTATCCAAAACTATGAGCTGGATCCCCCTAGGAGAAAAGGTTCTACCTGGGTTAAGCTACGAAAAACAACCTGAGCGAAGAGTATTCCTACCCGGAACTATGAGCTGGATCCCCCTAGGCGAATAGGCTCTACCTGGGTTAAGCTACGAAAAGCAAGCATGGGCGAAGAGTACTTCTAACCGGAAATATGAGCTGGATCCCCCTAAGCGAAAAGGTTCTACCTGGGTTAAGCTACGTAAAACATCCTGAGCGAAGAGTACTTCTACCCGGAACTATGAGCTAGATCCCCTAGGTGAAAAGGTTCTACCTGGATAAAGCTACGAAAAACAACCTGAGCGAAGAGTACTTCTACCCGGAACTATGAGCTGGATCTGTCACGCCCCGACCTGGAAGCGAGACTGGCACCCGGTGCCTCAACTAACCTAGTGTAGCAAATTGCGACTAAGGGACTCTGAACATATAATGTCATAATTTGGCCAAGGGGCCACCTTGCAAGACAATTTGCGAAGCAAAATATAAAACTGAATGGAAACTAGCGCTGACTAAACATCAATATAAAGTTGGGCCGGGAAGCCGTCATAACTACTACAACTGACAAACCACCAAAATATACATACTAGGCCTACAAGCCCAACATAATGCACTAACTGATAAGATATGTTTACAAGCCTCTACTGATAGATATATTGTGATCGGAACAGGGCCCCGACCTACCCATAATATATATACATACACACAGAAGATGTACACGAAAACCTAGACCCAATAACTCTGAAGGATGTGGAGCTTACCGATCAGGCTGAACTCTGGAAATACCTACTGAGGAGGTATACCCGTCTGTCTATCTGAACCTGCATGCATGAAATGCAGCGTCCCCAGAAAAGGGACGTCAGTACAAAATAATGTACCGAGTATATAAGGTGATAACATAATTGAAAGTTGAAACTGAACTGATAATATAATAACTGAAAGTAATTGGGAGTCAAAGATGATCTGGAGATATACTTACCTGTTGATACTAACTCAACTCCTTCAATATAGTAAGTAAAATAATTGTCCGGCCTTATAAGGCTCGGTATATATAACTGCTCTGCCGTAGTAGGCTCGCTCATAGGCGCTCGGCCATACTAGGCTATGTATCTCGACCATGCTGGGCTCGCTCATAGGC